GGCCCCGCCCGGGCCCTGCCGCCCGGCCAGGGGACCCTGGGCAAGCCCCGTACTCACTCTGCGCCGCACTGTCCTCCGTGGTCAGTTGGGCCTGCACCCCGCTCCTCCAAGTGTGGTCCGTGCGCCGCAGCAGCAGCTTCACCTGAGCGCTGGCGAGACACGCGGGCTCTGGGTCCAGGTGTTCGTACTGGAGTCTGTGTCTTGAGCGCCCAGGTGATGCGCATGCCCGAGGAGATTTCAGAGGCCTCGGGTCTACGCACGTGCCCCGCCGCCAGCACCGGGGCTGTGCTGCGGCTCCAAGGCCATCTCAGACCTTCAACGTCATCGCGAAGGCCTCCTCCAAGGCTATTTTGCTCTCGACGTTGTGACCACAGGCCTGGCCCAGGCCTGGGGCTCAGGAAATAAACAGAAAAATACATTGTCACAGTTTAAACTCTTCCTCTTCAGCATATGAGAATGGTGAAGAACAGCCTGTTCTGTCGTCCAGAAGGATAGAGATAGATAGAGAGTTGTGTTCTTTTTTATTATGTTTTTATTGATTTTGAGAGAGAGAGGGAGAGGGAGAGATAGAAACATCGATGAGAGAGAAATACCATCGATTGGCTGCCTCCTGCCTGCCCCCTACTGGGGATTGGGCCTGCAACCCGGGCATGTGCCCTGACTGGTAATCAAACCAGGGACCTCCTGGTTCATGGGTCAACACTCAACCACTGAGCCACAGGGGCGGGGCAGAACCTTCTAATATTGCAGTGGACGTGGGGTGAGCAGCCTGTGCTTTGGAGATAGGCGAGCAGAAGCCAGAGGACCCGGGAGAGAAGTTAAAGAAGGGCTGAGCCCCATGTGAGCCTCTGGGCCGAGGGAGAAACAGTGCAGGGCGTGGGCAGTCACCAGGTCACCACTGAGCACGGGCACCTGTGGAAAGAGGCAGAGCCCGGTTAGAATGCTGAGGACACCCTCTAACAGTGAGGACGTGGGCGAACGCCTTCGCTTCCCTTCCTTGTACATGTGCTAAATGTCTAGTCTATGTGTCAGGCCCTCTGCGGGACCTTGGGGACACAGTGGTCAATAAAATAGGCTTTGTCCTTGCCCTCTCAGGGGAGAGAGACAATCAACAAGAAAATAAAACTATAACTAGAAATGCTGGTGAGGAAGCAAAGGAGGGTGACAGAGATAAGGTAGTGGGTAAGGGAGTGGGGGAAACCTATTAGTCAAGGCCCTTACGAAGGATATCAATGAAAGATGGCTCTTTAAATTCAAGCCTGAAGACAGAGGAGCCAATCATGTGAGCGAACCTAAAGGAAGGGCACTCCGGGCAGTGGGAACAGCATGTGCGAAGGCAATGCTGGGTGCTTTGAAAGGGGGTCAGTGTGTGCGGCAATAGCATTTCTCATTCAAGGGGGAGAGGGGTGGTCATCTCCACCTTGCAGACCTGCTGGGAGCGAGGATGGCACAAGGGAAGTGCTCAGAGCATAATGTTTGCTCTTAACTGATCTCCAGGCCCCCGTGGCTGCGTTAGGCCCCTATCGGGACCGCCGTCTGCTCTTTCCATCTCTCAGGAGCAGCAGGAGCAGTGCTGCAGCCTGGGCCGCAGCCCAGAGCAGGGTCAGCTGAGCTGGAGGGGGTTGAATGAGCTGCCTGTGTGCGTCTTGGCTACCTATATCTTACCTTTTGGGGGAGGGGGAGGCCTCCCCTCTCCTGGGAAACCTGCCCAGCTTTGGCTAGCCCAGGCGGCTTGGATAGAAATCCCTGACCCCCTGCCTAGGTCTCAGCAGCCAAAGGCCAGACCCTCTTGGGAGCACAGAGCCCTCCGACCAGCCCACACCCCACTGCCTGGCCAGCCCTTAAGTACCAGGCTGGAAATAACCAGTTGTCCCCGCCCCTTGGGGCTGTGGGCTTGCCCACCACAGGGGCTGGGGTGGCTGGGCAGAGCAGGGCAGGAGGGCTGTCCCGAGGGAGGCCTGTTGGATTCTTCCAGCTGGGAGGCCCCTACTTTCAGGCTTCGGGAGGTAGGAGGGGTTGGTTCAAATCCTGCATTTGCCACTGACTCCTCAAGAGCCTTTCAAAACTGCCTTAATAATTTGAGCTTCAGTTTCTTTATCTGTGCAATGGAGTTCATCATTTCTTCTAGGGTTAGTGTGAGAAGCAGGATAGATGTGTGAGCTTTGTACACTGTAAGGTGCAATGCACACGGAAGAGCTTGTGGTTGGGGTGAACACTTCCCGTTGTATTAAAGGTGTGGGTGGAGGGGGTGTCTCCGTTGAGTGACAGAGCAGGGGATGAAGACTCGAGCTGGGAGACATGCTTCCTGCTGCTCCCTGGCGACCAGCTCTAAGGGCTCGGGCTGATGTGGAAGCCCCAGCCCTGCCTGCGTTCCAGGTCCTTAGCGGCCAGAGGAGCGAGTCAGCAGTGGGGCCTGGCACCCACCCAGGCCTCCAGAACGCAGTGTCCTCCTTGCTGATAAGGTGGGTGTATTTTCCTGGGAAGAGCCAGAATAATCACAGGAGGGGGCTCCCGGGCATCCCCCGGCTCTGCTCCTCCAGAACAGTGAGTGAAGACAAGTTCCTAGCCCGGACCATGCCCCAGGCTTCTGTGAAGGCTTCGGCTTTCGGCAGTTTGGAGTATGGTCCCACCAACCTTCCTGGTCTTCCATCCCACTAAGCAACAGTTTGCTCCTCAACTTGTCCCACCTCTGGGCCTTTGTTTATGCTATCCCCTTTGCCTGAAATGCTCTTCTTCTCTCTTCTGTCTGCCTTGATTTCTAACCATCTTTTTAAACCTGTCCCGATGCCACCTCCTCCAGGAAGCCTTCCCAGATTCCCCAGCTCTTGCTCTCTGACCAAAATTCCCTTTCTTTGCCTGTGCTCCCATGGCACTTAGGTCCAGCTGCTACCATTTTAACAGGTATGGCCTTATTCACCGACTAGCTTCTGCCTTCAGAGAGCTTAGAGTTCTCTGAAGCAGACAGATGTGGATGCCCTCCTCCCCACCACCACCAAATGGATTAAGGTCATGGGTGGTAGGTGTTGGAGGGTGTGGCTCCACAGAGGAGGGTCCCATCCCAATCCAGGAGGGCTTCCTGGGAGAGGAGGTAGCCACTCTGTGCTCACAACGAAACAAGGCCGTGGATTGTTAGCACCTAGTTTGTGACCCAGCATATAGTGGGTGCTTTGGGTGTGCTAAATTAACATTCCAACTGAATGTGCAGTGGCATCCTCCACATTGGACAGCTTACTGTCACCCATGTAGAAGAAAACTAGAAAGGAAGAAAAATCTGGAAAACTCTTAATGGATCCCCTGGTCAGGACAGGCAGGACCTGTGTGCCGTTCTGCCCTGTTCAGCCTATGATTTCTCAGTAGATCCCAAGCTAGAAATGAACAGAGGGACTTCAGGGACCACAGTGAGATGGCTCATCAGAAAGGTGGGTGCACTAGAAAAAGCAGACAGAAGACAATGCCCATTGAGATATAAGAAATCACTCTCAGGAGATAGGCCGAGACACACACTGGATGGGATGACTTCCGTCATCAAGAAAAATGGGAAGCTGAAGCTGTGGGCCCTGCTGTGCATTAGATCCACCTGGGCCCACTCCCCAACCAATGACCCAGAACCCCTGGAGGCAGGGTCTGGAATCCGAGGTGATTCTGATGCCAGGGGTGGAGCTCCACTGCCTTAAAGTATCACTCAACATTCCCCAGGGAAGAAGGCAGGGCAGTGCGATAGCCGACGCGGGAGCACGTTTCCACAGAGATGGCTAAACTAGGCAAGTGTGTACTTAACAGGTCAACTTCAGCTACCCAAGTTCAGCTGTGCAGAACAGCTCATAGAAAAGGGCTGCAGAGAGTGGAGGATGGGCCACAAGTTTTGGCGCCGGTCAGATTCCCACATCACTGAGTGGGTGTGTAACCTTGGGCAAATTACTGAACATCTCTGAACCTCAGTGTTCTCATCTGTAAAATGGGGATGGTTGTAGTGCCAGTCCCAGAGGGCTGCTTTAAAACATAATTAAAATGAAGTAGAAAAAAGTGCTCAAGTGTTCGATAAATATTAACTCCCATTCCTCTGACTAAGAAGGTTCCAGACACATGAGGCATCATTGTGCAAGAGAGGGTCCTTAATACCCCTTAACATTCTTGCACATTAATATGATTGTTTTTAGACAAAAATATCCAGCTCATAGGTAAGTCATTCCTGGTTGACCAGTGGGTACACTGACTCAGGGGAAAGTTGCTTATGTTTCCAGGGAGAAGAGCTGAGATCCTGGAAACAAATGGGAGTTCAACAACCCTGAGTCCTTTGATTTCACAACCCCCCATGGACGCTCATCTTCACCAGAAGATGAACTTGACTTCAAGGCATCATTTCCTCTTGCATGGACCATCCTCCATCAGACAGACAGTCAGTGGGTGTGCCTCTGTGCCGGGCCTTACGCTGGGCCTTGGGAGAGGCTCTCTACCTTCTCACGGCTGCTTGCTGAGCAGGAAGCCTGGCATGACCGCCAGCACCCCCCGGACACCAGAGAAGCCTCGTGAGGATGCAGCGGAGAGGAGCCAGACATTGAGGGGAAAGAGTGGCCCAGGAGTGCCCATGGGTTGCTGTGACTTTCTCCATTTCTTCCCCAAATCACTGCTCTTCACCATGAATGCCAGTGCTGCTCCAGCCTGTACCGCCCCTTCTTTCAGTTTTCCCATCTGTAAAATGGGGGTAGGGGACCAGAGAGAAGTACACTCAATGATTCCCTATGGTGCCTGCTTTGGAGAATTTTATGTAATGAGTCCTATGGCCTAAATTCACATTTTAATTACAGATTACAGCAAGCTCTGTTTGGAAAATTTCACAACTGGCCTTGGATCCATCTGGCTTTGCCTCCACCGGGGGTACAAGTGGAACGATGAAAGATGAGGGCCACAGGAGGAAAGAACTGCCTTCCTCCCCGATCTTTCTATTCATCTCTGTCCCCCCTCAGTCCAGTGCAAGGCTGTCTGGCAGGTGAGCCCCAGACTCACCTGGGAGCTTGGCTGGGGCTGGGAGAGTGTCACCCGGATTCTGGGCACATTGGAGAGCAGCTTTGTGGCAGGGGCTGACGATCTCCACGAAAAATGAGTCCCTGGAGGAATCCTTACATCACAAAGGTAAGTGTTTGTGGTTAGCATTGAGAGGCAGGAGGGAGGAGAGATGGCAGTTGGAGAGAGATGGCCAGCCTCCCTTCCTCCTTCCTAGTTCCTTCTCTTGTCCAACCAACACTTGCTGAACTCCTACTGGGTGCAGGGCCCTGTGCTGAAGCCGGCACAGTCCCTGGTCCCAACAGACAGGAAGACCAATCTAGTGTATTCAGCACTGAACAGTCCCAGGAGGCGGCAGGGACAAACACAACCCCAACCTGACCTGGTGGGAAGAGGGTGATGGGCAAGGCTTTCTATGGGAAGGCTTGCAGGACAAGCCCACCAGGCAGAAGACAGCCTTCCCGGCAGAGGGGACAACAGGAGCAAATGTAGAAGAATTAAAGGGAAGCCCAGGCAAGCCCTGGGCTGGAGCACAGGATGCAGGGATGGAGGGCGGTGGGTAGTGGAGAGGGACAACAGAGGGGTCAGCAGGACATAGAGTCAGTCCGAACGAGCTTGAGGCTCAGTGGGGGAACTCAGTCCTTATTCTGAGGTCCCAGAGCATCAGGGCAGGGTTTTCCCCGGGAGGATAAGTGGGATTGAAAGGAGGAGTGGATTGAAGGGGCTGGAACCGGGAGCAGGGGCGTGCACGGGAGGGTCCCTGGTTGCTCAATGTGGCTTTTATTCACTCCCTCAAGGAGCATTTCTTGTGGGCCTGCTCATCCCTCTCCACAGCATCAGGCTGGTTAGCCCCTGCACAGTGCTCAAGCTCGGCAAAAAATGTATGGAAAGAGCATGGCCGCACTTCACAAAGCCTCTTTTGTGAGCAGCCCTGGGGCCATGGAGGCGCGGTACTCTGCTGCCCTCTAGCGAGGCCTGGAGACACACCCCTGTGGGGTCCAACCAGCTTCTAAATTTCTCTGCAGTTTCCCCCAAATGCCTTTCCTCTGTCTCAACCCCGGGACCAGCCGTTCTGGATGGAAAGTGCGGTTTGGGACTAGAGGGCAGGCTCAGAGCATCCAGTGATGCTCACATTCTGACTCAGGTGGGGAGCCTGGGGCAAACGTCCCCACAAACAGCTCATCACACCCCAATATGCACATCTTCCCTGTCCCTGCACTTGTCTCCAAATCGCTTAGGTGTGGCTCATCTCAGTCCAGTGTGAGGCAGACAGCAAACTGATAAAACCAACGCACACTAAGATGTGAATGACCCATAGTTCTTAACCCCTTTAAGGGCATTTAAGGGAGCAACTGTTCACTCACACCTAGAAAGGCAGCCTGCCGGGGCAGGTAGAAAGCACCAGAACTTAGAGCTCGAAGTTCCCGGCCACCTCCCCACCTCCCATTTACAGCTGCTTCCTCCTTAGCCTGCCCTGCCTTACCTCTGCGTGTGTGTGTGTGTGTGTGTGTGTGTGTGTGTGTGTGTTCATCTGAAAGACAGGAATAGTAATGCTTGCCCTAGGATTTAAAAATATATAATAGGTTAAGGAACTTCCGAGTTGAAAGGAATCTTGAAGATCATCTAGGGATTTTTATTTTGGCTTTTAGGTAAATCTTCACAATTTATGAATCACTTTCCAATACAGACACTCTTCGAATTATGATAGGGTTGTGGCCCAATAAACCCACAGTAAATTGAAAATCTATGACGTCTAAAATTCATTTAATACTATACTGGAGAGTGCCGATGAGTCTTTGCCCTCGTGATTGTGTGGCTGCCCGGGAGCTCCGCCCGCTGCTGCCGCCAACACCATGAGAAAGCACCTCACTGCGTGCGCATCACTAGCCTGGGAAAAGATCAAGCTGAAAAATTCAAAGTACAGTTTCTACTAAATGCCTATTGCTTTTGCACGATTGTAAAGTCAAAAATCCTTAGTTGAGCCATTGTAAGCCAGCGACCGTCTGTCTGTACGCTGTCTCATCCGAATCTCAGAACAACTAAGTAAAATCATTCATCTCCATTTACGGGGAGGAAACAGGCGAGAAAGGGAAAATGACTTGCCCAAGACTCTCTGCTATTTTAGTGCAGACAGGTAGCTCTTGGCTCTTCCCTAACTCTCCCTACGGATCCTTCCTGCTAAAAAAGGCCCTATCGCCCTCATCTGCCACCCTCACCTCCTGCCCCCACAGGCCTCTGAATTCCTGCAAAGCCCCTGCACCCTAGATAGTACTTACCTGACTCCCTAGCAAGACTAGGGGATTCCTGCCCAGTGCCCTGCATGGAGGCTGGCACTGGATGGGTAAGTGCCCCACCCCAGCTCATTCACAGACATCTCTGCTGCTTTCATAAGCCAGACCAGGACGGGGACAAACAGCAGTCCTGGCCTGGAGTCAGCTTTGGCATTGGAGAAGCAGGTGGCCCAATGTTTAACCAGATGCTTTGGGTCCTTCTGTCAACTCAGTCAGTGGAGGGAGGAAGATTACAAACCTGGAGGAGTATGTGGATAGAGTAGAAAGAGCCTGGTCCAGGCTCTGCCATGCGGCCTTCCCATCCCTGCCTCAGCGTCCCCATCTGTACACAGAGGAGGCTGGTCTGGGTGGTCCCTCCTGATGGGACTGGGCAAGAGCAAGGGATCCTCAAACTCCAGAACCCCCTGGCTGGGGTCCCTCGCTGGGAGTCTCTCCACCACAGAGGTGAGGCTGGGTAAATCTTTAACTAGCGCCCGGGGCAGGCCGAGCCTTTCCGGATGGATGACTGCCTGGGAAGGGGGGTTGGGGTGGGGGATGTAAGTGTGCACAGCCAGTCCCAGTGTGGAGAAGGGAGGGTGGTGGGGAGGGAAAGGAACGAGACGGGAGCAGAGCTAACTCCGTGAGCAAAGCAGGACATGGAGGAGCGGGGATCCCCCGATGGGTAAGCGGAGATTCTGGGAGGCCCGAGGCCCGCTGGGCACAGGACAGTTTAACTCGCCTTGCTGCCACAGGGACCCCGCGCGGAGCCTGGAGCAGGGCCCCGAGGGGCCGGAAACGCCCATCCAGGTGGTGCTCAGGTGGGTGTAGGTTGGCTAGGTTGTGCCCGAGAGAGGAAGGGACGGATGGAGACATCGGGATGGACCATCCACCCTCCCGTCGGACCCCAGGGTGCGTCCCATGAGCGCCGCGGAGCTGCGCCGAGGGGAACAGAGCGCGGTGCACTGCTCGGGGACCAGGACTCTGCAGGTGAAGCACCCTCCCACCCCCAGAACCTAAAAATCCTACGGAGAACGCCTCCTCCCTCCCCCCAGGCAACTTCGTCCAGGCCTCGCCCTCCCCGGCCCCGCC